ACGGTGTCCGAGCCAAAATCCCAGGTGGAGTTTGTGCTGAACGTCGTTCGCAGAGCTCCTCCAGGGCTGACGAAATTTAGAGAAAACGCATTCACTGGAGAACCTTGTCTGGGATGTTGGCCCGACTCGGACACGTCGTCGGCATCGTCATTGTCGTCGTCGCCGTTGTCGTCGGCATTGTCGTCGTCGCGAGGGTGTCCGAATCGAACGAAAGTCTTTGGCAGGAGTTTTGGCTGGACGTCGTTCGGACACCTCTGTGCAGTGAGCCGTGTCCAAGATCTGGGCTCGAATCGAACACCTCGTCGTCGTCGTCGTCACTGTATTTGTCGTCGTCGGTGTCGTCGTCGTCGTTGTCGTTGTCGCGAGGGAGTCCGATTCGAGCCAAAATCCTGCAGAGAGTTTTGGGTGGACGTCGTTCGCAGAGCTTCTCGAGGGCGGCCGAAACTGTAAGAGCTCGCCTTCACTGGAGAACCTCGTCTGGGATCTAGGCTCGAATCGAACACCTCGTCGTCGTCATTGCATTTGTCGTCATCGGTGTCGTCGTGGTTGTCGTTGTCGCGAAGGAGTCCGATTCGAGCCAAAATCCCGCAGAGAGTTTTGGGTGGACGTCGTTCGCAGAGCTTCTCGAGGGCGGCCGAAACTGTAAGAGCTCGCCTTCACTGGAGAACCTCGTCTGAGATCTAGGCTCGAATCGAACACCTCGTAGTCGTCATTGCATTTGCCGTCGTCGGTGTCGTCGTCGTTGTCGTTGTCGCGAGGGAGTGCGATTCGAGCCAAAATCCCGCAGTGAGTTTTGGGTGGACGTCGTTCGCAGAGCTTCTCGAGGGCGGCCGAAACTGTAAGAGCTCGCCTTCACTGGAGAACCTCGTCTGGGATTGTGGCTCGTCGTCGTTGTTGTCGTCGACGCTCTCGAAAAGACAAGCTTTTAAGGCCCTCGGAGCGTCGTGTTCAGAGCCTGCGATGAGCCTTCCGCCTCTCTTCCGCCCCCCCTCTCGTGGAGGTAATGTTGAAGCCGCTGAGGGCCCCTTGGGGACTGTTTCAAGCTTTTTCGGGCTTCCTCTCGGCCTCGTGGGGGCCTCTTGGGGCCCTCTTGGGCCGTCTTGGGTGCCCTTGGGGCCGTCAAGGGCCGCCTCGGATGCCTCTTGGGCCGTCTTGGGCGCCTGTTGAGCCTTCCTGGGGCCGTCTTGAGCCTTCCGAGGGCCCTCATGGAGGCATCTTGGTTGCTTGTATAAGTGTCGTGGACGCCTCGGAGACGAAAAATGTACGTTTTCCGAGGGAAGTGGACGATGTTTGCATTTTGCGGCTCTCCTGGAGGAGTCTTGAGAGCCTCTGTCGGGCTCTCTTGGACCGCCCTGGGGCCCGCCGCAGCGTCTCCGAAGCATCGGGGGAGCCCATCGGTCCCCAGACCCTCTTCGCACGCATTGGCCCTAGCATTGTAGGAGAGACTAGGGCTGACCCGTGGACGACCGTCAACGAATGCCAGTGGTCAGAGTGCGCTTGCTGCTGCTCACTGCTTCAGGGTGCGCTGACTGCTGGATGATCATGACGACGTTCAGAGCAGCGCGAGCGGTATCAGAGGCAGCAGAACCAGGGGCATGGGCAGTAGCAACAGCAGCTCCACCACCACCACCACCATCACCACCACCACCACCTTCTCCTCCTCCTCCTCCTCCTCCTCCTCCTCCTCCTCCTCCTCCAATCCTACGCCTATCCCTACCCCTACCCTTACCTCTACCCCTACGCCTCCTCCTCCTCCTCCTCCTCCTCCTCTTCCGCCTTGTGTTTAGCTCGTCCTCTGCCTCCTCCTCCTCCTCCTCCTCCTCCTCCTCCTCCTCCTCCTCCTCCTCCTCTTCCTCCTCCTCCTCCACCTCATCCTCGTCCTCCTCGTCCTCCTCGTCCTCCTCGTCCTCGTCGTCCTCATCCTTCTACTCATTATCCTCCTTCTCGTCGTCGAGCTTGGCCCGTCCTCTTATTCCGCGTCCTCCTTCTGCTCCTCCTCGTCCTCATCCTTCTCCTCCTCCCCCTCGTCCTCCTCGTCCTCCTCGTCCTCCTCCTCCTCCTCCTCCTCCTCCTCCTCCTCCTCCTCCTCCTCCTTGTCCAAGACATCATGTTTTTACGACTGCGCTGGCAGGCGCGCCTTTGGTGGAGGAAAGCGACGACGGGGAGGAGAAGGAAAAGGCCCAAGATGATTGCAAAGAATCATGCCCCACACCTTTTGGGACAATCTCGGCACAGGAGGGGTTGCAGAAACAGCGTTCCTGGGTGTCCGCAGCTGGATTGGACAGCTATTTTCTGAAACCCCTCCGGCGCAGGAGGTGTCCCAAGAGGTGTGGGGCGTGACTTTCTCGAATCATCTGGTGCTGCCTCGGAGCCTATCGGAGGCGTTCGGAGGGAGCTGCTGGAGGCCTTCCGGGAGCCTGTGGCTGCTGGGTAATGTCTGGGAGGCCGTCTGGGAGCCTCCGGGGGCTTTCTGGGGGCTTGCTGGCCGTGGGGGGGCGGGATGGGGGGGAGCGCTTCAGGTCGGGGGCGGCCAAGAGGGGGGGCGTCCAAGAGGGGGGGCGCAAATCATGGCCGGCGGCATGCGCGCGCGCGGCCCAGGGGGGGGGGGCAGGGACGTAACGAAATAAGAAGAGGCGCCATGAAATCTGGGGAAGTATCATGGCCCACGCCATGATACCCACCCCCCTAGTCATCACCCCCTCTTGGCCGCCCCCGATCAGAATTGGCCCTGCTGGGCCTCCTGGAGTCCCTTGGGACCGGGCTCAGGGGCTGTCCGGCCGTCTTGGGAGTCCCCGCGGCTGTCTTGAGGGTATCTAGGGCCGTCGTTGGGACTCTCTTGGGAGGTCCATGGGGGCGATTTGGGGGCCCCAAACGAGGTCCTATGGGGATGGGGAAGTCTCATGGAGCACCTTGGAGACCTCTCGGGCCGGCTTGGGCCAATCTTGGACCAATCTTGAGCGTCTTGGACCCATCTGGGGGCCTGTTGAGCGGACTGGGGGGCCCTCTGGGCCCGTCTTCGGGCTCTCTCGGGAGCCTCTTCGGCCGTGTGGGAGCCGTCTTGGGAACCTCTTGGGCGTTGGTGGATTGTCTGGAAGCCAACAAGGCGAGCACGGCAAAAACCTGGCAACAAGCAGTGAAAATCTATGTTTTTTCCTGCTCGGGGCCCTCTGGGGAAGGTTCTGGGGACGTCTCATGGAGCACCTTGGAGGCCTCTCGGGCCGGCTTGGGCTAATCTTGCGCCAATCTCGAGCGTCTGGGGCCCACCTGGGGGCCTGTTGAGCCGACTTGGGGGCTCTTGGGCCCGTCTTGGGACTCTCTTGGGGGCCTGTTCGGCCGTCTTGGAGCCGTCATGGGACGTCTTGGGCGGTCGTGGATCGTCTGAAAGCCGACAAGGCGAAAACGGCAAAAACCATGCAAAAAGAAAGGGAAATCTACGATTCGTCTTGCTCGGGGCCCGCTGGGGAAGCTTCTGGGGAGGTCTAATGGAGCACCTTGGACACCTCTCGGGCCCGCTTGGGCCTCTTGGGGCCCTGTTGGCGTCTTGGAGCCTCCCTGGGCGTCCCTGGGCGGCCCAGGGCCAGCCCGGGGCGGTTTTAACTTCATTGATCCTGCGGCATTCTGGCACGCACGGCCCCCAGCCTTGTAGTATAGACTAGTGCTGACCCGTGGCCTGACCGCCACGAAGTCTGTCCGAGGTGGCCCGTTGGGTCAGGGCGGAGAATTTGCCACAAGGCTTTCATGACAGCGTTGGGCCTGAACTTCTACTCTGCTGTTGCTGCCTGCAGCTGCAGGGTGCTGGTGCCTGCGGCAGCTTACTGTCGCTGTGCTGCGGCTGCTTACTGCGGACTGCTGCTGTATGGTGCTGGTACTCAAGGCTGCAGGGTGCTACTTCTCGCTACTCCTGCTAGCTGACGCAACCTGCTGCTCGGGAGTGGATCGAGCCAGCGAGGAGCAAGGAGCGAAGACTCAGGGTCGAAGGGGGGGGAAGCGAAGAGCGACCATCGAGGAGCAGGGAGCGAGAAGGGAGAGGAGTTGACGGCCGAAGAGAGAGAGAGAGAGAGAGGCGCGAGGAGGGACGAGCGAGGGCCGCAAAGAGTGAGGAGAGGGGGAGGCCGGCGCCAGTAGCCAAGAGGGAGAAGCGAGGGGCCAGGAGGGAGGAGCAGGGAGGAGCGAGGAAGAGCAGGGAGGAGCGAGCGGAGCCACGGGACGCGCAAGGAAACGCACGTATGACAATGGGGGCGCGACCACAAGAGACCTTCCACAAGAAACCCAACCCTGAGACCCCAGGACGTCCATTGATTTTTTGGAGTGGGAACGTCACGCTTTCCATGGCAAAACCATCGAAGCCCAAGAAACCAAGGGCACCCTGGAGGCAAGCAGGGTGTTTCTTGGCGTGGGTTTCCACTGGATGTGCCTTGCCTCTATGTTTGTTGCAAGACGTTTCCCCGAGCGGTATGGCCCGAAGGCGCCGCCACCGAGCGTACACTACAAGCTGCCTTGACGCGCGCGTCGCCCCTGCGTGGGCCACGCACATAGTGTCAGTACGTTTGGGTGGCGCCAGAGCCCGGCGAGGGCGGCGGGGAGCGAGGAGAGGGCGGCGAGGAGCGAGGAGCCACAGGGCGAGGAGCCACAGGGCGAGGCCTGAGCAACGGCCAGCACACGAGTGCAATTGCCTCGGCGTGCCCGTTGCCGAACACCTTTGACGCCTCTCGGGCCGCTCATCGGGCAACCTTGGGGCTTTTCCCTGGGGCATCGTGTTTGGAAGCTGCTTTGGCTTGGGAAGCAGGAGGGCCTCGGCAAGCTCCTGAAGCATGAACTGCGGCACCCGCAGCCAGCTTAGGGCATCTTGGGGACACCGCCCTCTTGGGCCGCCTTGGGGCCGCCGTAAGGGCCCTGGGGCCATCTCGGGGCCTCCTGAGCCCCCAGACGAACCGCGTCACGGGGAAGCCGATTGGACCCTTCTGGCACACACACATACATAATGCCTGGTAGTGTAGTACAGATGACGTCGGGCTCCACCTTCGCCTCCCGCAGCTTGCTCAGCAGCGCCAGAGCCCGCTGCCACTGCTCGCCTGTCTCGCACGCGCTGATCCCAGCGTTGTAGCTGATGACGTTAGGCTCCGGCTCCGATTCCCGCATCTCGCTGAGCAGCGCCAGTGCCCGCTGCCACTGCTTGCCCTGCTTGCACGCGCTGACTCCAGCGTTGTAGCTGATGACGTTGGGCTCCACCTTCGCCGCCAACATCTCGATGAGCAGCGCCAGCGCCCGCTGCCACTGTTCACCCTTCTCGCACGCGCTGACCCCAGAGCTGTAGCTGACTAGGGCTGACCCGTGAACTCCGTCCACGACATCTTTCTGGAATGGTTCTCGGAGGAACGGCGCAGATTGTACCGAAAATCTAAAAACGCGGCGGCGGCTCGGGCGGCGGCAGCGAGACCGCGCCTTCGTGTCCGAGCTCTTGCAGCGCTCCAGCAGCTTGGCCCAGCGCACTGCTCGTTCACCCCCCTCCTATTGAGGACAGTTTCGAAGTCTCTCGGGGATGTGCGTCGAAGTCGAAGCCCATCTGAGGCGTCTCAGGAGCGCTCGGGGAAGGGCTCGGGAGGCCATCGGGGAAAGCCACCGAAAGCGCCGGGGAGGCTCGCAAGGATCTACAGGGAGGGCACAAGAGAGCTTCAAGAAAATTGAAATTCTGTAAAATCTTTAGAGAAACCGCTGTTGGGTCGGCCATCACCTCCGGGCGCGCCTTGATGGTGCGATCCAGTCGCATCACCGCCAACGGGAGGGTTTGTTCGCCATGTCCCATTCTGTTCGCCCAGAGGGTCTGTGGAGGCCTTCGGGCGAACAGAACGGGACAGGGCAAGGAATGGGGAAGACTGTCCGAATCTCCTGGGCCCCCCAGGTGCTCGTCCGAAGAATGCGGAGAGGTCCCAGGGTCATATCAATTGGCTGCTGTCCCAGGGGTCCGGTCTGCTTGGCCCGAAGAGTTTGCCAAGGCCCCTGGGGGAACAGAATGGCACAGCATATCGGGCAAAGGGGGGCGGTAGCTGGCCTGTCAGACCCGGCGTTCGTCTCCTGCCCAAGCGGCGCGGGGCCCACGGGCCCCAGGGTTGGCGGCCCGCTGGGTTTCCTCTTGTTCGCCCACAGGGTTGGAGGAGGCCTCCAGGCGAACAGAATGGGGCAGGACAATGAATGTGGGAGACTTGTCGCAAGCTCCCAGCCCCCCCAAGTGTGCGCCCGAAGGGTGTGGGGCCGCGTTGGCTCCCTCAAAGGGCCGTCTTGGAGCCGTCCAGGCCCGTCTTGAGGGCGCCGTGTGCCGTGATGGGGCCGTCTTGGTTCGTCGTGGGCCCCTCATGGGCCGTCCGTAGGCCGTCCTGGGCCCATCGGGGTCCTCGTGGGGCTGTCTGGAGCCGTCTGGGACCGTGAGGGGGCCGCCTTGGAGTCGTCTTGAGCTCCTCCTGTGCGCCTCCTTGGGCCGTCCTGGGCCCAGCAGGGGCCGTGTTGGCACCTCTTGGGGCTGTCTTGGAGCCGTCTTGAGCCGTCGCAGCGCGCCTTGGGTTGTGCTGGATCCGTCTTGGCCCGTCTTGGGGCCTTCCTGGGCGTTTCCTCGGACCCTCCTGGGACTTTCTGGGGCCTCTTGGTGCATCGGACCGCCGAAACGGCGGGAAACGCAAAGGGTGTAACAGTAAACAATGGAAAACTAACGATTTTTGCCAGCTGGGGCTCTCTTGCCATCTTGGCCCGTCTTGAGGCCCCGACCGGGCGCGTCCTTGGGCCGTCCTGGGCGCACCCTCCTGGAACCGTCTTGGAATCGTCTTGGGCCGTCTCGAGCGCGCCTTGGGCCGTCCTGGGCCCGCCTGGGGCCGTGTTGGCACCCTCGCGGCGAGGAAGCTCGGAGGCGGGCTCGAGGCCTCTTTGGGGCCATTTTGGAAGCTGCTGGGGCCTCTGTTGGGGCCTCGTCTGGGCTCCTTAGGAGCCTCCTGGGGCCTCTTTGGGGGATTCTTGGCGGCCCCTTGGGGCCTCTTGGGGGCCTGTTTGGGCCTCCTGGCGCCCTCTTGGGGCGGAACGGATTTTCGGTCCGTGGTCCCCCTCTTGGCCCCCTCTTGGGCCTGTCTTCGGGCCCTCGTGGGCCGTCTTGAGCGTCTCTTGGGTCGTCTTGGGGCCCTCTTGGGCTGTCTTGGGGCGCTCTTGGAAACCTCTTGGGCCGTTCTGGGGCGCTCTTGGAGGCCTCTTGGGCCGTCTTCGAGCGTCGGAAAGCGGAAAAAGCGAGAAGGCCAAAATCCTTCCCAAACCGTCGTAAAGCGGATGATTTTGACGCCCGAAACCGTCCAAAACCTCCTGAGGCGGTCCCCTCGTCCGCCCCCGTGGCACCTCTTGGGGACCTCTTTTGGGCTCCTGGGGGCCTCTTGGGCCTCTCTGGGCTCGTCTATCGCGCCCCTTGGGCTGTCTTGGGGCCCCCTAGGGCCTTCTTGGGCGGTCCTCGGGCCGTCTTGGAGCCATCGTGGGACGCTCTTGGCCCATCTTGGGGTCCCGTTGGCCTGTCTTGGGCGCCTCTGGGGCCGTCCTGGGGCCGCCTTGGACCGTCTTGGAGCCCTCTTGGACCGTCTTGGGGTCCTCTTGGGGACCTCTTCGACCGTCTTGAGGCGGTCTTAGATGCCTCTGGGGGGGTTCGGAGCGTCGGGAAGCCGAAAAAGCGAGGAAGCAAAAAACCTTTGAAAAACAAATGAAAATCAACAATTTTGGCCTCTCGGGGCTCTCTTGGGAGGCCTCTTGGGAGGCCTCTTGGGAGGCCTATTGGGCCGTTTGGGGAGCTCTTGGGCCGTCTTGGGCCAATCTTGGGCGTCTCGGCCGGACCTTTGCGCGTCTCGGGGCCCTCTTGGGCCGCCTTCGGGGCATCTTGAGCGGCTCGGAGCCGTCTTTGAGCGGCTCGGAGCCGTCTTTGGGCCGTCGGGGCGGCCTCCGGAGCGTCTCGGAGCCGTTTCCGGCCATTTGGTTTTTTTTCCTTCCGGCACGCGGTTCCTCCGGCCATATAGTTTAGACTAGGGCGAACCCGTGGACTTCGTCCACGTCATCCTGGGCCAGTCTTGGCTCGAAAAGGCCGTCTTGGGCCTGTCTTCGCTCGAAATGGCGAGAAGGTGGAAATCTTTCAGAAAGCATCGAAGAATCAATGATTTCGCTTGCCGCGGCTCGTCTGGAGCGTCTTCGAGCGATCTTGGGCCGTCTCGGAGGCCCTCCTGGACCGCTTCCTTCTCTTCGTCCGCCTTCCCCTCTACCTCCGCCTAGACAGCCTTCGGAGCGTCACTGACGGCTATGGTGGGACTGCGATGTACGTCTCGCCGTATTTCAATTTTGAAGGCACCTGGGGCCTTGAAAAAAGTCACCCGGAGGGCTCTTGTGACTTTCTTCCGGTTGCATCTTCGAAGCCTGATGGCGGGCGCTGCCGTCTCCTTGGGAACGGTTAGTGGGCCTCTCGGGGTTTCTTTTCGAGCTCCTGGCCTGTTGGGACCTCGTTGGCTGTCTTGCGGCCTCCTAGGGGCTTCTTGGGGCCCTTTTGGGCCGTCTTGCGGCCTCCTGGGGGCCTTTTCTCTTGAAGTTTTTGTGGGCGCCTCTGGGGCCGTTCCCGGGCTGTCCCCCCGAGCCTCTTCCAGGGGACAGCCCAGGAAATCTATTGTGCTTGCGTGCTGTGCGTGCGTGCTCCTGTGTGAGAGGTCGGAAGGGTGTCCCGACGTCACCGCTCGCTCGTGATAGCTGTGCCTGGGAGAGCTCTCTACGCTGCGTCTAGCTCCTTGGTGAGAAGAGCTTTGTACTTCAGCGATCGCTCTTTAATGGACGTCTCTGGGCCTGCTTGGTGGTCCTTGTGAGTGAGAGTCTTTTTCGGGCCATTTTGAAGCTTTTTCGGGCTGCTCTGGGAGCGTTTTGGGACGTTTTGGGGCCTTTGTGGGCCGTCACGGGGCGTCCGGGAGGCCTTGGACCGTCTTGGAGCTCTCTTGAGGCTGCCTGAGGCCGTCTTGGGAGCCTCTTGGGGCCCCCTCGGAGCTCTCTTGGAGCCGTCTTGGGGTTCTGTGAGGCCGTTTCAGGGCTCTCTGGCGTCGTCTTGGGGCTCTTGTGGGCCGTCTTGGGGCCCTCTTAGGGGCCCCTGGCGTCTTCTTGGGGCGATTTGGGAGGCCTCTTAGCGTGTCCTGGGCCGCTCAGGAGCACACAAGGCGGGCATGCTGAAAATATACGCTTTCCTACGGGAATTTGACGGTGTGTGCCTCTTTGGCGTGCGCTCGGGGCCCTCTTGGGGCGTCTTTGCGGCCTCTTGGATCGTCGTGGAGCCCCCCCCGGAAGACTTCGGGCCCTCGTGGGCCGTCTCGGGACCCACTGAGGCCGTCTTGGAGCGCTCTTGGACGGTCTGGGAACCCCTCTGGAGCGCCTCTGGGACCGGCCTGAGCGATTCGGCCCCGTGGTGGCGCCGTACAGGGGCGATTTTGTCCACTTGAGGCCCTGGGACATTCTCGCACGCGCTTCCACTGACCATGCAGCAGAGACTAGGGCGAACCTGTGGACTTCGTCAACGACCAGCAGGTCCCCCTGGCGGGCCTCCACGTTGGGCCCCCGCCCAGGAAAAAGCCACCCCGAAGCCTTCCGTTACTTTTTCCGGCCGCCATTCCGAAGTTGAAGGCGGGCGCTTCCTCGTCTTCGTCCGCCTTCCGCTCCACGTCCGCCTGGACCTTCGGAGCATCACAGCCGGCTATGGTGGGTCTGCGGTGTGCCTCCCGCCGCTTGTCTGCTCCCCCTGGTTTGACCCATTTTGAGAGCACCTGGGGCCGAAAAAAAAGTCACCCGAAAGGCTCTGGTGACTCTTTTCGGGTTAACTTTTCGAAGCCTGATAGCGGGCGCTGCCTTCTGCTTGGCAACTGTTTGGGGGCCTCTCGGGGTTCCTTTTCGGCCTCCTGGGGGCCTCTTGAGGCCCTTTTGGGCCGTCTTGCGACCTCCTGAAGTCATCTTGGGGCCCTCTTGGGCCGCTTTGGGTGCCTCTCGGGGCCGTCTGGGGCTGTCTTAGGCCGTCTGGGGGCCGTCTGGAGGCCCTCTGGGGCTTTGTACTTCACCGATCGCTCTTTTAATGGGCGTCTCTGGGCCTGCTTGGTGGTCCTTGTGGAGGTCTTTTTCGGGCCATTCTGAGGCTTTTTCAGACTGCTCTGGGAGCGCTTTGGAACGTTTTGGGGCCTTTGTGGGCCGTCACGGGGCGTCCGGGAGGCCTTGGACCGTCTTGGAGCTCTCATGAGGCTGCCTGAGGCCGCCGTCTTGGGAGCCTCTTGGGGCCCCCTCGGAGCT